CACTGTGAATCTATCCTGTTTTGCCTTGTCTTCCTCTAGTGGACTTTTTCAACTTTCCCAATGTTGTTTTTTTTCAAATGTAGAAATGTGGGGATTTTTTTTCTTATTTTGAAAATTTCAGGATTAGGGTAAGATAAGAAGATTGCCAGTGAGTGAAGATTGCGATTGCTGAGCTGAGTTTGTCAAAGTGGCTGTGATTTGGTTGAAATTAACGCATATCACAGCCCGCTTTGACGAGCTTACGGCAACACGACACAACCAGCTAAGCTAGGCGCCATGGACTCTTTTCTTGCCTGGAGTTTTTTTTTTTTTTTAAAGAAGATATTTTGACTAAGATTTAACACATGGTGTAGAATCAAATGGTCCTATAACTGTATATTTGCTACAGCTGGTGTATAGCTAGTACTTTAAGAGGTTGAATGAAAGAAGTTAGATTGTGGTTGCTGGTTTTATGGAAAAATATGATTTTACTTACATTTATTACATGTATTTAGACATTTGTCTTGTCACCATTTCAACACCTTCATATTTTTTCAAAAAAAAAAAAAAAAAAAAACTTTCATTTACTAGACAGAATGGTGATAAAAAGGATATAGAAAAGATTAAGTTCGAAATATTTTGATTATTCTTTAATAAAAGTTATATCTTAAGCACATAGTGAAAATTAATCTTCTGTGAGCTTTGTAATCATGTGAAATGTTTGTCTTTCCAGTTAGAAAGGCAGGCAGCATTGACTGGGGTTGTCTTCACTGATACAACATGTCACATCAAAACTTTAGGTAAGGCAAGCAAGAAAAAAGATAAAAATAAAAATAAATGGTTAATGTTTTGTTTGAAATGGCATTATCCAGTTAGGAATGAGAAAAAGTCGGGGTTTTTTTTCAACTCTGATGTCAGAGATGGAACTTACGTTTTGAAATTTAATTACTTAATAATAGCATTGAAATGACTCTGTTGGGTTTTCTCATTCAGTTTTATTTATTTATTTATTTATTTATTTATTTATTTATTTATTTATTTATTTAAACAAGTAAATTTTGATCATCGAGTTAAAGTTTAAATTTTAAAATGTGTGCTGAAGCATGAATAACTTTCTTAAAAGAAGCAAAGGATAATGATAAGCATTTAATAACTATTTCAAATGTCTTGACTCACAGGTCCAAACAGGATTGAAAAGCAGCAGAAAATATCCGGGACGTGCTATGGCTTCTCTTTCCAGTTGGAAGTTGATGTTTTGGAAACTTCAGTATGTATAATTGATTGATGCAATAGTTACATCAGTTGAATACTTCAACTATTTAGTTTCAAGTATTTATTTAAGTATAGATATTTTTGTTTATTCGGGCATCTATCTTCATTTTATTGACAAAGATGAAAGATTACACGTTTTGTTGAAGGGAAATGTGGTAAAATTTTGAGGCACTATCAGTTATCCTGACAAGTTTTTGTTCCAGGTTTCGGAATCAGAGAACAAGGCCTGTTTAACAAGGTTGAAAATAAATGTTGACAAACAAGTTGCTAATGACTTGGTGGAATTTATAGACAAGTATGTATAACAAATAGAATTCAAGCTTGTATGGTAAAAAAAAACAGAAGAAAAAAAATAGAAGCACAATTTTAATACACTTAAAGGAGTTTGTCGAGCAAAGGAATTGTGCATTGAAGCGTCATTACAAATAGTTTAGCAAAGATATTATGATTTAAAAAAAAGATTTAAAACCAAAAAATAATTGTTAATGGGCTAAATGAAATTTTCATGATCAGCAAAGAAAGTTTTGTTGTTGTTGTTGTTGTTGTTGTGATAGCAAAATACAAAACGTGAAAGTGCCATTTTATTCTCTTTACAGTGTTATTGAGAACAAGAACATCCGGCGCTTCTTTTCTGGGTTTAGTGCCTTTTGCAAGTGGAGGACTGTAATGAAGAAGACATTCCATCATTTTCAGCAGAAGTATCCTGAGGCAGTCAGTCTGCCTCATGGGTCAGAGGGAGCTTACTTACAGTTTCAACACCCTGAAGCTGCTGGGTAGTGTACCGAATTAACTTTCAAAGCCATTTTGGAAATTAATATGAAGTTGAGAATTTTTTTTTTTTTTTTGCAATATCTGTTCATTGACAACTGAAGAAATCAATCACTATGAGTGCCCATATTTGAAGAAATAAAAACAAACTTATTATTTTTTTTTTACCTGACTGATATAAGTAACATGTCATTTCTGTTCTACTGTTAAAAACTGACAGTGGAAAATTTATCTTTATCTGCATGTAGACGGTTCTACTTGACGGATTGGTTGATGTATTTCAGAGCTGTGTGGACAGTGCGGTGCGTCCTTGACGTCACCCAGCATGGGACTGTCGACCCCGATATACAACTCTATGTCAAGTCCCCGAAGCAACGTGAGTACATTTGTTGGTAATTCATTTTAGAGTTAGACTGCACATTCTGTTATCTGTACCATTTGATTCTCTCACTTGCGTGGTTGTGATAAATGGCATTTGTTTTTCAGTCTATTCTGGTGAATTCTGTAACACAAGTAGGATATTTAATTAATTTGTGGTTTAAGTGAATAATTTGAAAAAGATTAATTTCCTGTAGGCTGTTGATGTACTATGAATTATAAATAAATATAATTGAATAGTGATATTGGTATTTCGTTTCAGTGCTTGAGCTGGATGAAAAGAACACCCTTGCCTCGGCACCAGAGCAATTTAACAAGATGGCGCACACTTTGGGACTGGAGAAATCACTGGACATTATGATACAAGCCACATGTTGCTGAGTGTGAGCAAGAACACCACAGTACCAATATTACATAGCTGGCTAACCTCCGTGATAGCTGGCTAAAGGAGGGTCGGTGTCACTGGCTAAATCTGGTCTGGATGTGTTGGAGGGCAACATTTCAAAGACTACGTGGCCATTTTCAGAGATGATAACTGAAGGAGATCATGAATAGCCTTTCTGACCTCACTTCTGATTCAACAGCTTGGCACATTATCAAGCTTTTTTTTTTTTTTTTGTCATTTACAACTTTTTCAATTATTGAATGAAAAAATAGAAGAGAAAAATTGATTTCTTTTTTCATTTCCTTTTGCCAATATCAATTATCATTTCTAGGACTGTAGTGTAATAATGTGCTTTGTGACTGCTTGCTTTATTCTCCTTCTCAGATCTTTTTAAGAAAATCCATTATTGTCATTTGGATTCAATTAAACAGCCAAGAATATTCAGGCACATTTAGAAAAACAAATTATCTTAACCAATATTATATGTTACATGAAAAGTTTTCATAAATTTTACATACATGGCTGGTCCTTGTGTAAATTAAAGTTGTTTGTCTCAGCTATTAGCTTTTTACTACCATTGTGGCAGTTATAAAATTCCTATATTCAGTTTTTGTTTTATCTCCACTGTGTCAAATTGAGTGATGGTATAAACATACTGAAGTTTGTGAACAATGAAGATACCTTTTATAATGAAATGTGTTAAGTTTATAATTTTAAGATTTTTGAAATGGAATGATGTGAAGAAATCTTTATGAAGGTATTGTAAGGAATCTGTTTGGGATAACCAACAAGGTATTACTTCAGATATAACTTTTCTTGGCTTGGTACAGATATTCCTTCTTTATGGTAAATCTTGACATTGTCAGCACTTTTTTGTCAAAAATCTTCTGCATTCTATTTGTGCACATGTCAAAATATCAGTCTGATTGAACTCCTAGCTTCCAAATGGTTATTGACTTGTCATCCAATATTGTTGTCAGCTGATTGACAATATGCATCTTTTTCTCTTATTGGTAAAAAGACCAGCATTTACATCATTGGTCAGTGTTGTCTCTGTGAGTTTTATCAGACCTCACTTTTCCAGATACAAGTTCTTATTATGTGCTTTCTGCATAATGTACAGTTATCATCATTGGCCAAGTTGTCATTATGGAGACCTCCAAAAAAACAAAGTTAATATCACTTATTTGTGGTATGCAAAAACAACAACCACAAGCAAAAGTCAATAAAATTAAATAAAATGAAACTATATAATTTAAATTTATATTCAAATGTCATTGTCCTGGAAGAGAATATCAAAAGTAGCAATTAAGATTGCTATCAGGCAACATAGTTGAATTCTGATTGTTTCTTTTGTGATTGGTAAAAAAGGCGCCATTTATACCATGAGTTGGTATTTTGTTTGAAAAAGATGTCGTCAGCCAATTTGGCTTCAACCCAGATATGTTTTTACAAGCTATGCTTATTATAGTATAAGAGATTATATATTATTAATTTAAGGTGCCATTTCCAGTGCACTATCTTGGGAATTTTTATTCGGTTGGGGAAAGATTAATATATTTGGCAGATTTACATCAAACAACCGAAAAGAATGGTGTTAGTGACCTTGATGTATAACGTTTTCAGGTAAATAAAGCCATTTTTGTTCCAAAATGCAAGATAATAAATTGTTATGCAAAGAACAACAAACACTTGTTATTCTTTACATTTTGAATTCATGTTAACTAGTTACCATAAATAGCAGCTAATTGTAAGGAAAACTGGGTAATCTGCTTATTGACTTGGCGCGCCCGACTAAAGAAAACTGCGTTTGTCAACGCAAATTCTTGTCACTGTGTCAACTTTTAATATGCGCGCGCTTGCCGCGACCTTGGATAATTTATTGACTTATTCTTCCGTGTTTACTAGTGACATCATTCAACCCACAATGCACTGTAAAAGCTGACAAAGCGCTTTCTTTAGACAGGGATTTTTTCGGGTCACAAGCGCAATATCAGAAAGGTTTAACAACGTCATTAGGCAGTGTACTTCGTAAAACAATCAGGATAATTTCAACAAGCAATTTAGGACGTGACACAAGTGATTTTTTTCTTCTCCAGTAATTTTTGGAGTCGGAGCCGGGGATTGATTTTGGTCCGGTTTCGATCTTGGTGAGTAAGGGGTAGTGTTGGGAGAATCCAAATGTAGGTGGGTTAGGTTGGGTGTTTGGCAAAAATGTTGGGGAATGTTTGTATATTTTATGATTTGATTTTGCTGACAAAAATAAGTTCTTTCCAGTTAAGAAAAAACGTAGTATGACTATGTGAGGTCGAAGAGAAATTTGACATCAACTTAACCCATGACTCGAAAAATCTCCCACTTCCCCCACGTGCACTATATTTCCACTGTGTTCCGCCATCTTGGAGGTGATTGTATATTTCATTGTGAGAAGAAAGCCAACTTTGCATGCTAGATCTATTAATTTGGCTCTCGAAAAGGGTGACAGTCAATAATCAGCTTATTCTTTAAAGCCAGCTGACTTCCTGTAAATTTTAGGTAGTGATCATTTCTTGTTTGATGTTATTTCACTGTTGCGTGTAGATGTCAAGTGAAGCCGACTCCACGACAAACTCCCCACCAACGAAGAAACGCAAAACAGACCCCACCACGGGTGCAAATTGCTCTTCAGCTAACGCAGTCTCGAAACCAGTCGGTGTAAGTATCACCCTTAAAAAATCACGGGACCTTGTCCAAAAATACTTTTCTAGTCTTTAGATGGCAAGATTCAAAATGTTCGTGCTACAGGTACCTAAACATCGAGATTGCCTTCTTTGTCGTAGTTCAAATGTGAAATTGGAGCAACGTATCTTATTTTATAATGATAAGATTTTTTTGGTTACATTTTCATTTTTATGCATGATTTTCAGACGTTGTTCATTTATCGTCTTTAAAAATACCAACAAGCAACAGCCACATCATTTTAAAAAATTTGTCATTGACGTCGCAGAATTTGGCATATTCATGACATAATCCTTTAAACAGTGATGGTAACATGTCAGTTGAATGTAGGGTTTTTGTGAACAGTGCCACAAGTAAATTAGTTGTAGTTCGAGGCTTACTGTCAACAAATTTTATAACATTACAAAAATTAATTGGATTATATATATGGCTTTGTATGACCATAACAGTTCTGTAAGTTTATGATTCGGTAATCTCTTTATCTCTTCAGTCATCCTATTTCCAGTGTGACTTAGTACATTTTTACATTGTGCTAAGAAGAGCAGCATAAGTTGATTTTGAAGACAATCTTATCTCAAAATTCATATTCAATTCAAAAGATGAAGATCAAAGTCTGAATTTGACTGTCTGGTCACAGGTCACAGGCAGAATTAATGCAGACTTATAAGTTGAAAATCAAGGTTTTACCAGTATATCAGTGCCAATAACAGCACAGTCAACTAGGAGAAGAAAGATAGCATTTTGATAAGGATGGGCTTGGATTATCATCTCTTTTGTTTTAAATTGTCTTTGTCAGTTGTGTCACTGTTCCAATACCAATCCCAGTGCTGTTTCTCTTAAAGGTGCATTTAAAGTAAAAAAATTTTTTTTTTTTGCAACAAAAGCCAATATATTTACAAATAATATAACTTACTAGTTATAGAAAAGACATTGTTTCATATGACGAGGAAAATGATATTTGAATGGATTTTTCTGCTTACTTTCTGTGCTGTATACATATATATAAACAGGGCAGATCAGTAGCTATAGGGTAGATAAGTAGGTCAAATTCACAACCAAAAATTTGTAGATGGTGCAGTTTAAAGTTCTTATATGGTTGATCTAGTGATTAATCCCATGGCATGTCGACTTTGAGTAATGTAAAAAAAACTGGTTGAAGTGGTTTGTGTGTGTTACTGGAAATGTACCTACAAGCTTAAGCCCCCTTTACACAGGACGGCGTCCTCTCTGCGTCCTTTGTGCGACCATGAAACTGGCATCGTTGTGGTCATAGACAGGAGCACACAAGCATCGCTTACGTTGCAGATTGAATGTTCAATGATCAGCCAGTTGTTGGCACGTAAAGTTTTTTTTTTTTTTTACTCTCGAACGGGGTCGTACTACGAGACGCAGAGAGGAAGCCGCCCAGTGTAAAGGGGGCTTTAGTCAAGAATTGTCATGTCAAGTTAAGTCAAGAGATGTCATGTGGAGTCAAGACTTAAATATTAACACATTAGCTAAAGATTTATTATTTGACCTAGTTGCTGCATTTTATTTTGCTTATGTTTCATAGAAGTGGGAGAAATTGAAAGTAAAACTATAAAGTTGATTGGACCACTTAAGATAAACAGCAAATGCAAACAATCTGTCATATGAACAAGACAACATTGCCTAAATCCAAAACACTGTCTTAATGATTAGCAGGTTTTTGCAATGTTGCTCTTTAATTTAGAGCTAGCATAAAATTTTTTAATATTCATAAGTCAGTATGCATTTGTAGAATAACTATGACATTCTGTTCACTTTCTCTTTAGAAGGAGATGGCACAGAACGGAGCCTCTGGTGAAAATGACATTGACGAGAGCCTGTACTCCAGACAGCTGTAAGTTGGACATTGTTCATAATAGGTGTTGATGCTGTGAACCATAGTCTAAATATTCTTCTGGGGCCAGTTTCATCAACACTGGATAGGGCTATCCTATGGATAACACTTTCCACTAGATAAAATGGTTATCTTATGGGGAGTTTTCTGGAAGAAAGCAGCCACTTTTAACCACTGGATAACAACACCAGGAACAATAATATTTGTCTAGCATTTTGGAAACATTACCCACAGGATAACTGTCCAGAGGATAACAAATGTATCTAAGACTGGGTTCCCATACTTAGATCGATCCATCTGGATCGACCTAACTCCCTGGGGGTTCCTGCTAAATTGCTATCAGCTCAAGAGGCTTAAATGTCTGTCACACCTACCGAATCAACTAGGGTAAAGATAATTACCCCCTAACAGTTTTACTAGGCTTGACGGACCTTTAAGCTGGTTAGTTTGATAGCAATTTAGTGAGACTCCCCAGGGTGATAGATCGATACAAATATCTGTGGGAATGGTCCCTTATGGATAGTGTTATCTAGGGGATAGAGCTATCCAGCGTTGATGGAACTGGGCCCAGATGTTTGCCAAACTGATGCATGGATTGCTATCCTGTTTTGCAAAGGGATAGAAATTACACTAGATACATTCTAAGACTTTTGATGTTTGGTTACCATGTAAACTTAAAAGATCTGTTTTTTCCTAATGTTAAAGAATATTAGACAATGCGGATTCCTCTGCAGACAACTTAGTTCAAGTTGCTTTCCATTTGCTTTTGAGAATTTTTTTTTTTTTTTCAAATTATTTTTTGCAAAATATATTTAGCTAGCCCTCTGACTGACAAGAGTTTTCCTTTTTTGTTCTAGCTACGTCCTTGGTCATGAGGCCATGCGTAAGATGAACCTGTCCAATGTACTGATCTCTGGTATGAGAGGACTGGGAGTAGAGATTGCTAAAAATGTGGTGCTAGGCGGGGTCAAGTCCGTCACTATTCATGATAAGGAGAACGTCTCCTATGCAGATCTGGCAGCGCAGGTGACTCTGAACTCTTTTGGTTATTGTTGTTGTTGTTCTTCTTATTATTATTTATCTGTTATTTGAGAAATTACGCATGGTGTTAAGAAATTTGATGTTGAACATTGTCAGAATTAATGGAAATTAGACTGATGGGGGCTTTGGTGGCCTGGTATCCTATTCTACCTGAGTAGTATGAAGTATAAGAAAGATGATATTTGAATGGATTTTTCTGAATAGATTTTTATGTCAAAAATTTAAGTCTTGCAATGAAGTTCACAAAAAGATGGGTGAAATATCTGACATTTATTATTGGCTTGACCAATATTTGAATTTATATGTATTGATTTTGTAGTAAATTTGATAGTGTTGTTTTATATTCAGTTCTTTTTGCGTGAAGAAGACATTGGGAAGAACAGAGCAGAGGCCACCCTGCCTCGTCTAGCAGAGCTGAACAACTATGTGCCTGTAGCTGCGTACACTGGAGAACTCAACCATGATTATCTGAAGCAGTTTCAGGTAAAACAATAATGCTGACAAATTTATTCATTAAAAGAGGATAAAAAACCAAGATCAACCTTGCGATTAAATTGCAGCAAATTTAAGATTTGATCAGTGTGTGATGGATGATTTTGTTTGAATAGATCTTTGGGATTTTTAGGAAATGGAGCAGGTTGAATAATAAAAAAAGTTGTTTTGAAGACATGGGAGTGTTATATCTTTATCTTGCAAAAGCAGTATGTATATTGGCAATTTGTTAACAGATTTTTTGTTAAGAAATACTACCTTGATTCAGGTGGTAGTCCTTACCAACACCCCTCTGAAGGAGCAGTTGGAGATAGATGCTTTCTGCCACAAGGAAAACATAAGAGTCATAGTGGCAGACACCAGGGGACTGTTTGGGTAAATTTTCTTTTTTTTTTTTTCTTTCTTTAATCAGAATATGAATAACAGTTTGCTTTGGTATTTAGATTACCTATTGAGAAAGTGTAAAATTTATGTTATCAATCCATGTTTTGCATTGTAATTTAGGTGAAATATCCATAAATATCTCTGCAAGTTTTAAACATGTTGGGTGTCTTTTTGTGTGAAACTGTGGAATAACTTTCTTCCCTATGTTTAAATGAACAGAAAATTAATTAGCATGTTCCTACCTGTGCATTTGATCAAATAATATACCACAAGTGAGACACATGCCAAGTGAATATAATTTGAAGTGGCTGCATAAAAGTTTTCTTTGTTTTATAAATTTTCAGTCAAATATTCTGTGACTTTGGTGAGCAGTTTGTGGTGTCAGACACCAATGGTGAACAGCCAGTCAGCAACATGATATCTGCCATCACCAAGGTATGAGGATTGTCAAGTTTTTTTTTTAACTTGCTGTTTCTTTAATAATTGTGATACATAGCTATGTTCACTTTAGCATTGTAATTTTTTTTGCAGAATTCTAAACATCAAATTAGGCTTTAAAAAGTATGAGTTTGCTTACTCTTTGTAGTCAAATATGTTATTGATAGAGGACAAAAAATATTTGAATGGAATTATTGTGCTCTTTCATTTCATTTAAATTGTATCCCAGATAGGTATACCTCCCTTTAGATAAGAAAGTTAACAGCATGACATATGTAAAATTGCTTTCAAAGTTGAGATTTAAGATGTATACAGGTCAAATAATATCTTTTCAATTTTATCTTTTCAATTCCTGCTTTGATGTCAAAAAAGGAAGTTTTCAATATTTAAGAATTGACATGTTGTGTAATCTTCCAGGACAAAAATGCAGTGGTGACATGTCTGGATGAAAGTCGCCACGGCTATGAAGATGGGGACTATGTCATGTTTTCTGAAGTCCAAGGAATGACGGAGCTGAATGATTCGGAACCCAGGAAAATCACAGTTCTAGGTAAAGCTGCAGTATCTCGGAATTTTACCCTAGTCCAAGGGCAAGAATGTTGGTTGTCAGATAGTTTTGGTGGTTTAAACATTACGTTTGTGGAAAAACTTTTGAAGTTTGGATTTCCATATTGTCTGAAAAGGTCCAATTTACAAAGTCCAAAATTTTGGTATGTATTTGAGTAGAACTTATTGGAAGAGGTAAATAGTTTTCATAAAATTATGTTGAACTCATCCACTTTATTTTTATTCTGTATTTTCTCTTCTTCAGGTCCGTACACCTTCAGTATTGGTGACACTACTGGAATGTCTGACTATACCAGAGGTGGTATTGTCACTCAGGCCAAGATGCCAAAAACTGTGCACTTTGTAAGTTTAACTACTAATGTAGTGTGCTGAATTATCCTCTAGGAGATGTGGATGTTTACACCAAGTCTGGACCAGGGCCCAAAAATATGCTTTTCTTATTGGTTTATGTTTCAAACTGCACTGTGACAGAGTGGGTTATAATATATAAGAACCAGTCTGTACTTACTTTGCTGAAAGTTCTAGAACTTAGATTATTGTAGATGGTAACACATGACAACATAAAAGTAGTTTTGGTTTTTGGTACATGGGGAAAGACTTTGTTTATGTACTAGTAAATGCTGTTGGTACCAGTGAGTGATAACTGGTAGCTGCCTTATGTTGTATTACAGAGGAAAAGATTTTCTTTAAAATTGGAAATTTGTTCTTTTTCAGAAACCAATGAGAGTGTCGAAAGACAGCCCAGAATTTGTTATGACTGACTTTGCCAAGTTTGATAGACCAGCCCAGTTGCACCTGGCCTTCCTTGCTTTGCATGACTTTGTTGCCAAAGAAAAGCGTTTACCAAGACCAAGAAACAAGGTGATTTAATGTGAATTAAATATAGCCTTGTCATTAAGAAAGTCACGTTGTACTTTAAGGTTATTCATCTACTGATTCTTTTATTTGCATATAGTATAATTGATTGGTTTTCAATTTACTTTTATTTGACCTGATTGAAAAATAACGATGAAAAAAAAGAAAGAAAAAAGGTACAGTGTTTAAATAGGTTTAAATGAATCCAGTTTGTAGCCTGTATTGTGGATGTCCATGTTTAAATCATCGTATTTTGAAATTTGGGGGGAAAAACATCTCTAGAATATTCTTGTTTTGCTATATAGGCTGATGCTGAGGAGTTCCTGACTATGTGCAGGGAGGAGAAAATCAAGGAGATGTCCCTGGTTGACCAACTGGACAGTGATTTGATGAGGACATTTGCCTACCAGGCCGCAGGTGATCTGTGTCCTATGGACGCTGTGATTGGTGGAATTACTGCACAGGAAGTGATGAAGGTAATGGGCATGATGGGACAAGGGAATTGCTAGGGGAAAAAATTAGAAAGTGAAAAGTGTTGACAGTTCCTACTCACATTTCCAACTTAGTTTGTGGCATTTTTGTTTCTGCCAAAGACTAAACAGAGTACCATGATGACTTGTCATGGTCAAAATAAAAACTGTTGTTACTTGTGAAAATCTTAGATATAAAAGTTTAAGCTTTGTGCATTTATTAGCTGTCTTCAGATATCCTTAGTAGTTATGCAGTAGTGATATAGTGATACAAATGTTTGAAGGTGTTGTATTTTTCTCAATGCATTCTTTATATTTTAGGCATGCAGTGGCAAGTTCACTCCCATTCAGCAATGGCTGTATTTTGATGGTTTGGAGTGTTTACCAGAAAATGCTGATGAGGTTCTGACAGAGGAGATGTGTAAACCAGTAAGTTCAGTAATACTGTTTGATAATGAGTATATTATGTTTCATTATCTGCTCTCAGTCCATTCAAGGTACACTAACAGGAGTTGGGTCATACTTTGTCACTATGTAATCTTGTGAAGTTTGGAAAATCTCTAGGGAGCCTTATTTACCCCTTTAAATGCTATATTTGCAGTCAACCTTCAATATTTTCGTAAAAAAAGATGTGTGGTTGTTGTGGTAGCCTGTTAACATTAATTTTTTGCAATTTTTTCCACAGAGAAACAGCAGATATGATGCTCAAATTGCAGTGTTTGGAGATGAATTTCAGAAGAAACTAGGCTCACAAAAATATTTCCTGGTATGTTAACTTGGTAGATGTAAGAAATATGTCATTTTCATTTCTTTTTGTGCTTAAATTATTGAAGTTTTTAAACTTAAGGGGAAAAAAAAAACAAAGAGGGATTAGAAAAGAGTAGATACACTTGTTGAAATCCTTGTAGTTTGAATACCAACACTTCATGACTGCAGAAAAAATGACTAAAGTAAAAATAATTTCTTCAGCAAAATCAAGCAAGCAGACAAATTTATTTTATTGAGTTATCCAAAGCACAAATTATACTAGTGAGAAATCAACTTCAATAGGACTGATGATGATGATAATGATGATGATAATGATGATGATGATGATAGTATGGAGATTATGATGATTATGATAAATTGTCACTGTACTGTTCCAGGTTGGGGCGGGAGCCATAGGCTGTGAGATGCTGAAGAACTGGGCCCTGATGGGCGTGGCGGCTAACGAAGATGGCCATGTCTGGGTCACTGATATGGACACCATTGAGAAGTCCAATCTCAACAGACAGTTCCTCTTCAGGCCTTGGGATGTACAGGTACTGAGCAAACTGGGAACTCTTTCTGTTTGCTGTTGTAGCAAAAATTAAAACCTTGTAAAAATTGCAAGAACAGCACTTTAACTTGAACAGAATGTAGTAGTTTGTAGAGAAAAAAAAAATGGGTATCAGACATTTTGATGTGAGATTTTGATAAAAAACAGTACTATTTTCAATTATTTCATTGAAATATATGTATTTTTCAACCCTTGAAATCAGAAAACGAAGTCCTCCACAGCAGCTCAGGCAGTCAAGCAGATGAACCCTGCCATCCATATAACTGCTCATGAGAACAGGGTAGGGCCAGACACAGAGAATATATACGACGACAAGTTCTTTGAAAGCTTAGATGGAGTGGCCAATGCTTTAGATAATGTGGATGCAAGTAAGTGCAGAAGTATTTTTTTCTTTTTTTTTTTTGGTAAGGAATGTCTTATCTTGCACAGGATTCATTTGATTCAGATCTGCTTATTTGGGGATCAATTAAAATCACTCCTTTCTTAAGATTTAATAGTCATAGGTCAGATGATACTGCATCAATCACTTTTTGCCAGATTAAATAGATTTTAGAAGACAGATTGCAGTACTTTGGGCTTCTGATTACCAAATTGAAATTGTTATTAGTCCAAATGAGCATTAACGGAACTTTGGAATTTAAAATGAATGGACTTTCTGTTTGTTTTGTGTTGTAGGAATGTATATGGACAGGAGGTGTGTGTTCTATAGGAAGCCACTGCTGGAGTCTGGTACTCTGGGAACCAAAGGAAATGTACAGGTAAGCTGGGGTATTATCACACTGAGCTTCAGAGATAACTTGACACTAACCTCTTCACCATAGACTATCTTCATCGTGTCAAGTTACCTCTGACGAAAATATTTTGACCTAGTTTATATAAGCCAATTGAATCCATGTTTCAAAATTTTTCACCAAAGTATGGTGAAAACGCTGATTGGTTGAAATCCAGAATTATGTTCA